AAAACTCTACAACACAAACACAAAATTAAAACATAACCACAAAATCCGCAAAACTAACACAAACCTCTACAACACAAACACAAACTTAAAACAGAATCACAAAATCTGCAACACTAGCACAAAACTCTACAACACAAACACAAGCTTAAAACAGAATCACAAAACCCGCAAGTTTCTTCTTGTGTTGTGGAGGTTTGTGTTAGTTTTGCGGATTTTGTGATTCTGTTTTAAGTTTGTGTTTGTGTTGTAGGTTGTGTGACTCTGTTTTGTTCTTACCGACCACCGTAAAAGAGCACCTCAAGTTCTGTATTTTTTTTTTTCAACAAAACTCATCCATCGATTTTACAATTGTCCCGGATGAAAGTGACCTGCGTCACACGTCACGCATTACGCATTTCCGTTACGATTATTTCCGATTACGTTTATCGCTTGTTTCCACTTGTATACGGACTAACAATAGCGCCAATGCAATCGTCAATGTAACGGCCGTAGAGCTTAGGTTTGGGGCCGTGGTATTGACTGAAAAATTGGTGTTCGATAAAACCTACGAGAAGATTGGCGTAGCTGACTCCCATTTTAATACCCTGGCGACGCCATCAGTTTGTTTGTAGTAGTTGCCACCAAATGAAAAGCAATTGAGTGTAAGTACCAGTTCAGCAAGACAGAGTGGTGTTTCAGAGATAAGTTCCTTAACAGTGCTTGACAGCATGAAGAAATGTAATATCCATAGTGAAAATAAGTTTGTTTTGGCCAAGCAAAATAAAGTCACAAAAAAATTCAAGTGCGTGTTGGCTGTCCTTACCGTAAGATGGTATAGTTTTGACGATAGGTGTCATAATTTTGTCTAAATAGCTGGAAATTGGTTCGGTGGAACAACTGCAGACAGAAACGATGGGTCGCCCTGGGTTGTTCTGGTGGGTTGGATTTTATGTAAAAAGTACGTACACGGAGTGGTGATGGGGAGATTTTTTTACAGTGGCCGGCAATTCTTGTTTAGCTTTAAGATCGAGAAACGTATTTT